GATTCCTCAGCACCACATAAGCAAAAAGAAAAAAGCCGGAAGTGGCGTTGTGGCTCAAGTGGTAGAGTGCTAGCCTTGAGCTGAAGGACAGCCCCAGGCCCAGAGTTCAGGCCCCACGACTGGACCCCCCCCAAAAAAAGAGACAAATCCTTCCTCCTTTGTTTCCTCACTTATTTTATCACAAAACAAAGGTGACTAACACCCAGTAACATAATCATCTCTAAAGCCCAATATAGTTTGAAATTTTGGGTTGTTTTCTCTTCTTCCTCCTTTTCTCTCTCCGTTTCCTTTCTTTGTATGAGGTATCAAACCCAGGACCTCATGCATGTCAGGCAAGGGTTTATTTTTATTTATTTATTTAGTCCAGTCCTGGGGCTTGAACTCCTGAGGGCCCTGAGCTTCTTTTGCTCAAGGCTAGCACTACTTCTGGTTTTTTCTATGTAAATGGTACTGGGGAATGGAACCCAGGGCTTTGTGCATGCTAGGCAAGCACTATACCACTAAGCCACATTGCCAGCCCTCAGGCAAGAGTTTATATCACTAAGCTCTTAACTTGTGTTTTTAACTTTAAAAAAATTCAGCTGACCCACCTCTATCTATAGTGTCCAGTTATGGGAGCTATTGACTACAAGTGATACTAAACATTTGGAAGTGAGAGTTAGTTTAATACACTTACGATTTCAAAGAATTTTTCTTTTTCCATCAGTCATGGGCACAGGGCTTGAACTCAGAACCTGGACACTGTCCCTTGAGCTTTATTTTCCCTCCCCTCATGGCTAGTACTCTACGATTTTTTTTTTTTTGGGTCCGGTCGTGGGGCCTGAACTCTGGACCTGGGCGCTGTCCCTCAACTCTTCAGCTCAAGGTTAGCACTCTACCACTTGAGTCACAGCGCAACTTCCGGCTTTTTTCTTTTTGCTTATATGGTGCTGAGGAATCAAACCCAGGGCCTCATGCATGCAAGGCAAGTGCTCTACCACTGAGCCACCTTCCCAGCCCTTGCTCTACCATTTTGAGCCACAGCTCCACTTCTATTTTTTTGGTAGTTAATTTGAGTTAAGAGTCTCACAGAATTTTTTTTTAACTGGATTTTTTTGGGGGGGAGTCCGGTCATGAGGCCTGAATTCTGGGTGCTGTCCCTCAGCTCTTCATCTCAAGGCTAGCTTGAGCCACAGTGCCACTTCTGGCTTTTTTCCCTTTGCTTATGTGGTGCTGAGGAATCGAACCCAGGGCCTCAGGCATGCAAGGCAAGCGCTCTACCACTGAGCCACCGTCCCAGCCCACACAGAACTTCTTATCCAGGCTGGTTTTGAAATGCGATCCTAAGATCTCAGAGCCTCCTAACTAGCTAAGAATTTAGGCGTGAGCCACCAGTGCCCTGACAAAGAATTTTTTAAAAAGCAGAATATCTCATTATCTCAATTTCTATAGCATTATATGTTAAAATATTTTTGTATACTGGGATTAATTTAAAACTATTATTCAAATTAATTTCACGTGTTTCTTTTTTCCTTTATTTAATTGTGGTGATCCTAGAGCTAGAACTCAAGGCCTGTGTGCTGTCCCTGGGCTTTTGTTGCTCAAGGCTAGTGGTCTACCATTGAGCCCGAGTTCCACTTTTGGCTTTTTGGAGATAAAGAATCCCAGTGCCCAGATTTTTTTTTTAAACTATTTTTTCAGATTTTTTTCAAACTCACTATCCTCCTATTTTTGCTTTTCAAGTGCTAAGATTACAAGTGCGCATCATCATGCCTTACTATTTACTTTTTTAAATGTAACTACTAGAAAATTACAGATATATACAAGGTTCACATTATACTGTTACTGATTAATTCTAATCTATATTAAAGAAATATAATCTTTATAATGGTACTAGGAATTAAACTTAGGTACACAGTGACTTAATGTACCCTATATCTTAGTATACTATAAACATCTTATTTACTATTATATATTACAACATGAAAGTCTATCCAAAGCATCTTCAATTCCCTATCATTCCACAACAAATGAGAAAAAAAAATTCTAAGTATACTAGAATGGAGAAATGCATTGCTAAGTATGGTATTGTATTTCTTGAAACAAAACAAAAATCAACAAAAATAAAATATTATTTATTTATATAATATTTACATTAATTACATTAATATTGTGGCAATATGGAATGAAAACTCAAGATCTTGCAATTGGTAGGCAAGTGCTGTACCACTTGAGTAATGGCCTCAATCTTCAAGTAGTTTTTTTTTTGTTGTTGGTCGTGGGTCTTGAACTCTGGGCCTAGGCACTGTTCCTGAGCTCTTCAGCTCCAGGTGAGTGCTCTACCACTTGAGCCACAGCGCCACTTCCAGTTTTCTGGTGGTAAATTGGAGATAAGAGTCTCTTGGACTTTCTTACCTAGGCTGCCTTTGAACTGCGATCCTCAGATCTCAGCCTCCTGAGTATCTAGGGTTACAGGCATGATCCACTGGTACCCAGCAATTTTTTTAATTTTAAAAAAGTT